TATGAGGGCGGCTGCATGCAATCCCCTCAGCAAGCCCTCTTGAGAATGAATCTGCGCGTCCACTTGGAACCCTTCAACACTGACTCTAGCCCTGAACCATGCGGCATCTGCGAAGATGACAGACATGTCACAAAATGCCACGTAAGCGTTGATTCTATCTAGTCTTGGGCACGAACAGAGTTGAACGACTGATACAGGAAACCTGCTGTGACTCTTTTGGATGAACATCTGTGCATTATCGCAGGATATCATGGGCGAGGTTCGGTGGTGGGCTATCTTGTTGAGATCCATGCATCCCTCTCGGCCGAAAGATTTTGCAGCTTGGTTCTGAGATATGATACATGACTTGACTTGACGACCAAACATGCACTGGAACCTGCCTGGGCATAGGCACCGCGGCTCTCTCCGACGTACCTATACTGTGCGCTTTCGTGCACGGAGTGCGGGTCACCTCACCAGGGCGAACCAAGGCATCCATGCAACGCAAGATTCCAAAATGTTCCGACATCGGGGAGCCATCGGTTATTTCAACCATGCCAGTTGAATCAAGGTTAAGGGATGGCTGCCAAGGAAACGTCCAGCGCAGCAAAACTCACGCTTGAGATGTTCCCGGCGCCTTCGAAGCAAACGGCCATGCAGCCATCAGGGCCGGCGGCCACCGTCTTGGCACCACCGCCACCGCCACCGCCGCCCATGACACCGCCACCACCGTGGGCAGCTCCGCCGTGGTGCGCGGCTCCGCCGTGGGCGGCTCCGCCGCCAACGGCACCTGCAGAGCTACTGCGCCGCCAGTGCACTGGTGCACTGCATTCGACTCCGACGTACTTAGGACGCATATTTTGGAAGAGATGCACAGCGCGGCTACTGTGGAGCTAAGGTAGTTGGGCCCTGCTTCCAGCTGTGAATCTCAAGACTATGCTGGCAGGTACTTGACGCTCCTTGCCTCCAGCGGGCATGCCGCACAATGGGAGCAGGGAGCAGAAACCAAGTAAGCCGAAAAGTCTGCTTGGTCTGCTTCTGTTTGGCTTTGTTGTCCAGATGAGTCTGCCAGGCAGGTGTTAACAGTGTTGGCATCTTGCAACCTTGGCAGCCTTGGGCCTGAGCACCTCTTCTGCCAGCAATATCGCTGTCGCCAGTGCCAATAACACAGTCGGTGCAGAACACATAAAGGTGCGCGTGCATTCACACGTCATCGCACTAACTAACTTAGTTCGGTCGACTTGTCATTGACAGCGCCAGGTGCTCTAGTATATTTCTATGTTTTTACTACATGCTACGCAGAAGATTGGCTGTACGCGGCATAGTCAACTGAGCGAATGCCAAAGTTGCAGAGCTTCGCTAACAACCAGGCGGGGATTGAGGAATGGGAGCGACGAGCATCCTGAAGTCACACAGCTTGGTTCGAGCGTGCAGTTCTCAACTCCCTAAGGCTGGTTGTTACAGCCCCTCATTGCGGCATGCGGATGCTCGGCCTCATCACCTACTACAGTCACCGTCCCAATCAGGACAGACGAAAAGGCTATGCGCTACAGTGTTGCGGCGCTTCACCCAGAGGGTGGAACATGATGCCGAAAAGCTCTGAGAGCATCTTAGAGCATCTCCAAGCGAGAGCTTTTACGAGATGACACGCCTTTCATGACAGGCTACGTGAGGCCCGATGCCTCGCATTGAGGGCCGCACATCTCAAGTCGACTTCAAGCCATCGGACTTTGCATAAAGCTCAAGGCACTCACACT